TTGTTTTTACTAACCCCCTTTTCTCTCCTCCAACCTTTATCAGGTATTGTCTTACTCTTTCAAACATTGATTTGTCAGAAAAGCAATTTTCTTAGTGGCAGTTCTGAAATTGTACTTTGTATGGTACTGCTTGTCTTCAACAGGAGAATAAACTGCAAGTCTGTTTGTTTATCTGAAAAGTATGCTTTAACTCCTGGTGAAATAACTTTCCAGCTAGTGCATGGTTCATGTCTAAAATATGCACAGTATTTTTTTTATTGTGAGATGCGGTGATGCAATTTGTACACCAGCAACTTCATGATTTAAGTATTTTTATGCAAAGCACAAAATGAACTTCCTACGTGGAATAACTTAGTTTACTTGGATGAATTAAAGGTGATCACTTTTCATGTGCCCTTGAGATAACTGCTACAGAGATTGAAATATTTAAACAATTCCTTAAACTACAGATCCCAGAAAGGCAGAAAGATTCCTGTGAATCTTGCTCTCAAGGCAGGAGCGTGGGTGTGAATCCATGTCCATTCTGTGATCCTTAGCATACATACTAAGCAGAGGAGTTTCCTTCCACCTGCTTCTCTTTCTGCCAGGCTGCTTGCTTACACACTACCTTTTGTTAAATGTCACTTTTAGCACTTTTTATTGCTGTCAAGTTCAGCTGAACTGAAGTAAAATACTCCAGAGAGTAAAGTGATGTAGCAAGAGATGCATATTAACAAAACTCCCTTAACTAGAAAAGCCTAGACTGAAAACATATCTAACTACTCTCTTGCACTCTTGCTTTCATGTTTGTACCTAAGGTTAAGGCACTGTATTGGGTATCAAAACATTCCCCAATTCAGACTTTTAGGTTAGGAATGCATATATGCTCCTTACCCACTTGAGAGGTATGTGTAAGATTACAGTCCAGCTCCAAAAATACAGTCTCACATCCAAGATGGTGTATCAGGCTTGCAGCAAGAAACTGCTTTCTGTGCAGCTGACAAGAGCTGAGAATCAGAAGTCTCTTTTCTCCAAAACATGGAAGAAGTATGGGGACTTATTGTAAATAATTAATTCATTCTGAGTGTTGTGCTGATTGACATAAAGTGAAACAAAGATTAGAGTAAATGGAAGAATTAATTTGCTTTTTCCCATATTAGTATTATTTTTTCGTATTATTATTATTTCCATATTGCTATTAGTGCCTTCACTGAACCAACTGGAGGAAGAAAATGGCCTGCAGATTGAATTATTCTGTTTGATACATTGGTACTGTTTCTCTTTCAGATGAAGTGGACTACAGCAATTTCGGGACCAATACACTGTCAAGGAAGAAGAAGGCTCTGGTGACACTGCGCAATGACAACCTCCGCCGGCGTCCCCACATCAACATTAGCATGCCTCACGATTTTAGACCGGTGTCTTCCATAATTGATGTGGACATTCTCCCCGAAACACACAGGAGAGTGAGGCTGTATCGACACGGGTGTGAGAAACCCTTGGGGTTTTACATTCGCGACGGCACCAGTGTAAGGGTGACTCCTCACGGACTGGAAAAAGTTCCTGGTATCTTCATCTCCCGTATGGTTCCCGGTGGCTTGGCAGAGAGCACGGGCTTGCTGGCCGTGAATGACGAAGTCCTGGAAGTCAATGGCATTGAAGTAGCAGGAAAGACTCTTGACCAGGTCACAGACATGATGATCGCCAACAGCCATAATCTCATTATCACGGTCAAGCCAGCAAACCAGAGGAACAATATTATTCGGAGCAGTAGGATGTCTGGTAGCTCTGGCCAGTCCACAGACAGCACTGCGAGTCACCATAGCTTGCCTACACCCCACGTGCTGCAGAACTTCCACCCTGATGAAATGGAGAGTGACGAAGAGGCTGACATTGTCATCGAGGGTGGTCTGGAGCCACAACACATTCCTAAACTGCACAGCCTTACTTCCAGTAGCCTCTCTCGAATCAATGGCAGCAGCCTTAGCCACAGACTTCAAAGGGACCTGGTGCTCAACAACAGCTCTGGCCGAGAAAGCAACGGCAACCTCCACAAATTACTCAGTTCCTTAAAAACTGATCCCCGACACAGTCTGGTTATCCCTAGAGGAGGTATCGAGGAGGACGGAACAGTGATTACACTTTAGTAGCAATTTCTGCAATTGTCCTTACAGTCTTAAGTGCCAATTGGGACAATCAACTCGTGCAACACGTGCACGAAACAGGGAGCTAACATTCACAGACCTCACGGTTGCAGAAAATTGTTGCTTTCTAGGAAACGTGGCATCTGGAGTTAGACATAAAACTGTCATGCACTGCAAAATTTGTCAGGAGAAAGCCAGAGTGCAAAACCTGGTTTATGTTCCAGCCCTGAAGCGAGAACACAAATTTGTTTTAGTTGGTATAAACCTAAGCAGTCTTACAGGCTACCCATAGCACTGTTATATACTCGGGTTTGAAAGCATGGGTAGATGTAGTTATACATGCATATATATGAATTAGATTTTAATAGTAACAGGCATGTCTATTTGAAGTGGAATCTGGTTTTCTTCTAATACCAGCTAAGGAGAGAGTACTTCTTAATAGCTATACCGTTGTCTTCTGTTACATACAGCCAGCCCTTCTGCCGACTTGTTTACACCGTCTTTTCAGCGTTATGTCTAATCCAGACGAGCTCTGTAAAAGCAGCCGTTTCCTATTCCGGTGGCAGCAGCGTTGGGGAGACGCTGCAGACCCATTTTCCAAAGGAAACGATGGAAATCCATATCCATGTAAAGCCGCGCCTTGCCCGCGGCCCGAGGGGCGGCGCCGGCTGTGGCCGCGGCTGCCGGGCCATGGGCGCCACCTGCCGGCCGGCGGGGGCAGCGCCGCTGCCGCCTTGTATTCTCTTACCATATTTATTAGATGATACCTCCTTTTTTTGATTTGTTTGGTTTTTTTCCCCCCTTCCCGCATCATCTCTGTTTTTTCAAAATCATTGTTCATGTGAGTTTTTAGGCGTGCAAGCCTCAGAGCTGACACAGGTCCTTGCTATACCTTTGGGGCAATCCTTGACAAGAGATTGCCCTGCGAAGGGGAGAGGTGCTGACTGACTCTCAAGCCTAACTTAGAATAATTCTGTTATTTTTGGACTCCTCCAGTAATAAAGCTTAATGTCTACACAGGACTTCTAGAAGGTTAAAATATACTGGATATATGTGAAGGTCAGACACTTTTGCTGGGTGGCCAGGTGGCTAGTGAGTGACCAGTGACTGTTGAGTCAGTACCTGTCTGCTTCTGGAAACACCATGAGTTTTACGAAAGTGGTCTAATCTAAAATATTTTGTTATATCTTGATCAGTGTAAGGAACAAAATATAAATGTTTTAAAATGTATTTTTCTACTTTTAGCTTGTGTCATTTGCTCTTTGTTTTTAACTTTGTAGTACATGAAAGCTTTTTTTATATGGTGGAATAGACATTTCTTAAATATTTTATGAATATGAAAATTCAGGAGTCTTGGTTTGGAAAAATTACATTCCGTTTTGGAATCTGTAATGGCTGGAAAAAAAGGATGTGTGGACTAATTAATTGTCACTAATTTAGAATACCTGTGGAACAACCAGTCTTCTGCTCATGGTTAAATATCTTTGGGACATTGAACTTAGTTTATTTCTTTTAGATTTGCTTTAAGAGTTTATTTTAAAAGTCTTTCACTTACTCTAATTAAAACTTTCTAGGTATCAAAGCAGCTATAGAGCTGTACGTATTTTTCCCAGCACAGTAAGAATAGAACACTGATCCTGTTCGTCTCAAAACTGTGTTTGTACTTTACCAAAGGTTTTCATTAAAAAAAATAAATCTAATTATTGGTGCAGTAAAACAAATGAATAGCTGGATATGCTTCAGTCAATCAGACCATCTTATCTGGAAAAATTTGTTACACTTTAAATAAGACTACTTTTATGAATAAGTGGATTTGTCTGGCTGAAGTTACTCCTTTTACCTTAGTTAACTGATGAAAATGTTGACCTTGTCTGCAATAAAATGTTCACTGTCTTACTTGTATTCTGTATTTTCTCCCTGTGCCTCAAGCATTTTATGTGGAAGTATCTCGCCTCTCTATGAAAACAAGGTATCCAGTTTGGGTGGCTCTTCAACTATGCAACTATTTTAGTGCAGTATCTTTTCTCAGTGCTCCTCACAGCCTCTCGGCCCTCCTCACAGCATGGCCAGCTGCAGACCTCTAGGCTTTGATTCTGGCTCCATGGAAATTCTGGCTCCATGGAAAGAGGCCAGGATACCTCTGATGGCCACTCTGCACCCCTTTGCCCGCAGCCTGCTGGCTCTCGCTGTCCACGGAAAGCGTTCCAGTACCATCTATCCAAGCTTTCCACCCCATTCATCGCAGGAGAGAGGAAGCATAAGTTGTTTCACACACATGTACAAATTACAAACAGAACAGCCAGCTGTTGATGTGTCAACCTTGGATCCAAAAAGTAACTTGGATCTAAAAAACAACTTTTAAGGCTTGCAAATATTTTGTGCAGCATCGTCGTGAGGAAAATAAACAAGCACACACACACAAGCCAGCTTCTATTTTGAGTGCCCCGTAGCCGCAAGCGGCGCTATGTTGTACACTCACAGTGAGCACCCTTCCCAACTCACGCCGTAATGAGAAGAATCTGCCTGGAAGAGCGGCTGAGCCGCTCGGGTTTCGCGGGCCGGGGCCCCCTCGGGTGTGGGACTGAGCTGCCGAAGGGGGCTCTGAGGGAGGGCTGAGGGAGCAGCGGTAAGCCAGCCCTCGCTAAAGGCCACATCCTCCACAAACGCTCCTGCAGACGGAGCCCCGCTCTTGTCCCAGCGCCAGGCAGGGGCGGCTCAGAGGCGGCGGAGCCTGAGTTTCCTCCAGTCAAGCGCGATTCCCAGCCCAGGCACCGGCCATAGGCTCGCTCCGCATGTACGTACGCTCCGTATGCAGCGCCGGAGCGCGGGGGCCGGGCCGCCCCCGCCCCGCCTGCCGGCAGCGCGGCTGCGCCGGCCCGCCCGGTCATGTGAGGGGCGGCGCATCACGGTGGGAGCGGGAGGTGGGATGGCGGCGGCTGCCGGCGCTGGTGACCGGACTGGAGCCGAGCTGCCGGACGCCTGCCCCGGCGCGGATAGCGGGAACGTGTCCCAGAGCCAAAGCAGGGCCTCCGGCCTCGGGGAGGCGGAGGACGAGGATGTCTCGGAGGCGTCGCTCAGCGCCACCGCCGCCGCCTACTCCGCGTACCTGCTCGCCGACCGCAGCCTCTTCAGCGAGCAGGTGGGCGAGGGCCGGGCCGGGGGCTCCCGCACAGCTCCCGGCTCAGGGAAGGGCTGTCATGGGTGCCATGGGAGCGCAGCCCTCTGGAGCTGGACACGCTCCTGGGCTGGGGCTGTGCAGCACAGGACGTAGCGGGGGTCGCGTCCCTTGCGCTGAACGAAGCCGAGAGAGGGAAAAGCCTGTGGGATTCCTGTGGGACTCGCTGTAGTCTGACCGATGTGGTCTAGTTTGTGAGGCTGGCCAGGGATTTGTGAATGTGTGCCTGTGTATGTTTTCAAGCGCTTTAAGTGACCTCTGTTTTGCAGATAGAAAGCTTAGACAAGAGTCTAGAAGACTTACTGACCAGGGTGGATGAATTTGTAGGAATGCTGGATATGGTACGTATAAGTTGGATGTGGTTGTGTTTTCAAAGTCAGATTAAACACGGTTGAATTGGTGTTTGTAAGTAAGACACAGAGAGAAAAAAAGCCTTTAGTCTATGCATGTTCCAGAATGAAAACACATTTGATAATTAGATGATTTATTTTGGTAATCAGGTAACTCATGGATGAAAACTACCAAGCTTTCATGTCAGAGCAAATTGTGTCCATATAGCTATATAATCATAGAATCATATAGAACTTAGTAGGGAAAAGACCTCTAAAATCATCAAATACGACCATTAACCCAGCACTGCCATATTCACCCCTAAACCATGTCCCAAATTGCCACATCTTTTAAATACCTTCGCCACTTCCCTGGGCAGCCTAAATACCTTCACCACTTCCCTTGTCAGGCTTAAATGCTTGACAACCCTTTCAGTGAAGAAATTTTTTCTAACTGGATATTTGTGTAGTTGTATTTGTATTCTTGTTTAAAAGAACAGTATGATATTCTGCTTATTCTTGGAAATACACAAAGACATCCTTTGTTGGGTTTATAATGAAAGTATCTAATCCAAGTTGCCAAGCCTCCAAAGCTAGATTTGTCTTTAGGGGACCCTCCTTTCAGAAAGGCAGCTTTGTTTTCACTTTTCTCATGGGGTTAGATGGGTGAACTGAATGGAAAGTTCCTGTAAGCTGGCACTGGTAGGTAGGCTGCCTTTTAAAGTGTAGCACATATGGTTTTCCTGCACAATTCTGTGGTAGGTTTGAGGTTTTTTTAATACCAGTAAGCTAAAATTTTTGTGGCCTCACTTTTGTAACAAACCTGAGGAAAAATACAGGTGGTAAAATTTAAGACAAAATTTTAGCTTAGTATGTTTCTTTCTTTAGTGTGTCTTAGAAAATGTTCCATCTCACTTCAGAAGAGATTGTATTAGCCTACTTTTAATATAAGTATAAAGCTAAATATTAGTCTCTGCAAAATACATTTTGTTCAGCATTTGAAGAAGAAACTATACAAAAAGTTGTGTAGTGTACTGATTTTAATGCACTATAGTGTATTGAATTTAATCTAGTGTTTCTATACTAATTTATTCCAGTATTTTTAAACTCTTAATTGTAGGCTGTTGATTGGAGCACATTTCTAGTTTCCAGAATAAAATCTACTAAATATTTAGTTTCATTCATTGATTTTTGTATTATTTCTTTGCATTCTTAGATTAGAAGTGATTCCTCTCAAGTTGTCAATGAAAGTATACCTGAAATTTACACAAAAGCTACAGAAATGAGGCAGATATATAGGAAGATTGACAAACTAGAGGTATGTATTTGCTGTCTTCTAGATGCATTTTGTTTGCTAACAAAAGGAAAAATCAATGTCTGCATATTTGTGTGTTTATGTGCACACATGTGGAGTGAGCTCAGGTGAGTTGTGCTCTCCATGTCTATGCTGGGTTCAGTACTTCAGGGTTAATAAAGAGAACTACATTTATGAAGAATTTCTGGGGATTGTGGGAATTCCAGGTGTGTTTTAGATCTTTTTGTAATGTATTAAAAAAAAACCAAATTGTTCGTTGACTGTTTAAAGCAAGGCAGTTTTTTGTGTTAGCTTTCAAAGTTTCAGAAACAAATAGACTGAGAGATCTCTTGATCCCTAATAAAACTTCAAGACTGTGTTTCAGATCCTTGGTTTTTCTTTTGGTGGTAGAAAGGCAGGTAGGTGTCTAGATTCTGAAAAATCCAAATTAGTTATTTGAAAGGTAAATTGGAAAAGGAGGATTATTTTATTAGATTTAAACTGGTTTTCAGCCTTTTAAGTATCTCAAGTAATTTCTAGCATTAAAATGGACTTATAGGCAGAAGGGAAATTGAGCATGAAGTTTTTGATGACTCATTTAAGCAATGGATCTTTCACCACTCTTTTGCAATACGTAATTCTATTTTATGTCATTAGGGAAAGTGTCATGTTTATTTATTTGGTTTTTTTTTTTTTAAACCAGGCTTTTGTGAAAATGATTGGGAATAGCGTAGCTGGACTGGAAGAACGGGTCACAAAGGCAGAAACAGACCTTGGAGCTTTTCCCAGCACCTTCAAGAAGCTCTTGCACACAATCAGCATGCCATCCTTCCTTAATGTAAGTAAAGTTTTGCTGCCATGTGACCAGCTTAGTTGCTCTGCTTACTAGACCAGATAATTAAATTAGTAATAAGTTTGTTGCACCTGTATATGAATGTAGCTGTACATTTTTAATATACTTGATTAGGGTTTTTACAGAGTTCTCAGGCTTCTTTAAAAAAAAGGAAACAACCAAACTTAAAAATTTAATTTCTTATAAGGATTTGTGTAACATTGCAAAACAAGGCTGAGTACACAAAGAAATGAATGTGAAGGACACAAACAGGCACATAATGCACAAGCCTTTATGCTAAAGCACCCCTGATCTCTGGTGGTATGCAAAGCAAGTAGGAAGAGGAGATCCACTGCTCAAGGATCCTTCTGCATTGATAACATCACCACACAAATGTTACCTAAAAGAAAATTAAAGCTAATCTGCACAGTATTTTTAAAATAAAGGTTATATTTGTATTCAGTGCACACAGTTGGATAATCATGTTACCACCTTGGTAGCTTTCTAAGGATGCAGTTTTCTCCATCTTTCCTTGTGGACTGTTCCTTTACAAAAGGCTTGAAGCACTCTCTCTGGTATATTTCAGAGATGCCTTACCTAACACTGAACTGGCATTGTGCCTCGGGTTTAAAATAATATTTTGGTTAAAAAAAAAAATCACCTGAATTCCTGATATTTCTTGACATCACCTGGCAGTGCACCGTTTGTAAGTTCTACTCTTTTGCATCTTGTCAGCTCACAGATTGTGTTGTCTTTTAGTGTATCCATCCTGTACTAGCTCAGTTTTCTGTGTTCTGGTAAGAATTATGTAAAAAGTAGCTTTGTAGAAGTGGAGAGGAAGAAGTCTGTGGCTTTTGGAGTATATTTGTTCCTACATCTTCCAAGTATATATGGCAGCAGAGAAGACTACATATAAAAAGAGCATGTATTGTCTTGTTAAGGCTCAATTCCAGGAACTTGTTCTTCACTGCTCTTTACTGTCCAGTCTTTAAGTTAGTTCATTTCCATCTCATTCTTTCATTTTCCTTAGTGTTTAAGTTTAGGAGTTCTGTAATTTATTTCTTTAAAAAAACTTAAATCAGCAACACAAAGTTGCACTTTATGGGCTAGTTAAAAACCAAAAAAACTGTATAAATTGCCTTGAAGATTATCCAGCAGTATTTTCCATTTTTTTCCTATAAACAGTTATTAACCAAGGAATTACAGTCTTCACTTGAAAAGTTTGCTAGTTCAAAGAAAGTACTTTTTTAGTGTTGTATGGGAGCACTTTGTCAAATTAGCACTTTTTCCGCAATTTAAAAGGTAGAAAACCTTGGAAAGTGTCAGGAGGGTGAACCTGGCATCTCCAGTGGTTTCTTAGTTTGTTTATGGATAGCAACAAAATAACACTCAGAACTTACTGGCATTATTTGATTCACTGAAAGGCAGGTTACTGTTCCAAAGTGATTTTGGATATTGCCTAGTAAGATACCTACTTCCACTTGTAAACACAAGCACAGGTGAATGAAGATGTCTATAGAGATTACTCCACTTGCCTGGTATTTAACTAGCTCAATACATCAATGGTAAAATACATGTTTGGAAAAGAAGGTTATGCTGATGTCATGATTTTCACTGTAGCTGTAGTTCACATTTTACTGCTAATTTTAATTTACTTAAGTACCCTCATTCTCTTCCAATTAAATGTATCTGTTTCTTTACACAAAGGCTGTATTTTTTATTTTTCAAGATGTGTATTTATAATCTCCCTTTCAGGTTTTGCCCAAAGTTCTTCCCTTGGGAATACCAGGCAGTGTAAAGAACAGTACTATAAGACTTCTAATATCACTAAGAATGTAGACTCTCAAAAGGTAAAAATGTCTGCTAAGCAGCTGCAAAAATAACTGATCCTAAATGTGTACTTAGGCAATTATGGGTACTGTGCCTGCCTATAAGTTTCCTCACTGGATTGAAATTACTCCTTTCTTGCACAGAGGCAAATACAGCACCTCTTAAATCCATGTCAGGAGTTACAGAATACCTGTGACCTTAGTTTCCCATGCTTGCAGATTGTTATGTGATAGCACAGTACAGAGTAGGAAAGTATTTTAAAAATCAGAACTTTGATTTTGAAGGTTGCTTTTACATTTGGCAAAATTTGTGATACAGAGAACACTGATAATACACACTGTTTATAGATCATATCTTTGTTTATATTTTTAATTTCATTGCAGCTTGAATGACAAAACAAGCTTAGAGAAATGGTATTGTAAAGTTAAAGACATAATTTAATATATCAGCAATTTTGTGTATAGCAGGAGAATGTGTACTTACTTCGTATGGAGTACAAGTATACAGCTCCACTGAATATCGAGAAATTTCCACTTTGTTTTGTAGGTATGGTTACTTATATCTTCATTTTGGTGCTGTAAGACCATTCTAAACTCCAAGGCTATCAAACAATGATATTTGGTGTACTTCTAACTTTATTATTGGTGAAGACTAAGTTCCTCATTCCAAACTGACAGGGCTCTATGAAACAGTTGATCAAAATATTTTTATTAGTTGAAAAGAACATTTTATGAGTGAAATCTTGATTTCAAGCATTCTATTTAATGCCAGGCATTGACAACATGCCCTGTGTCTGCATTGTGTTGCAGCAAGGCTGACACAGTAGTCACTAGTGGTCCTTGTCTTTCAATGAGCGATTGGATACAGCAAAACATTGTACAGTTAATATGTAAAAGAAACATGTACACCGTCTCTGAAAAACAGTGTAACAGCTCTTTTCCAGTCCACTACCAGATTATTTTTAACACTGTATCATATGAAGAAGCTCAGCAGGAGCAGCAACCTTCTTGAAAGAATAATTTGCTAGGTGTGTTTCCATAGGAAGACTTTTTGAGTAACTGAATGAGAACCCAGGCCCAGAACTGACTCAAAAGAAGTGGCTGAGGAGAATTTGAAGGCTGGAGCAGAAAAGGTAAAGGTGTATGGCTTGGAAAGGATGAGGGTTACAATGACTCTCCCATCAGCTGGATGGTACAGTTTGGCTCCTGCAGTGCTGGCATATCGTTCATGTTCCACTACTGGGTCCTTTTAGGTGCTGGAATGGCAAAGGTCAAAGGCTGCATTTCTTCACTAACTTTAGGAACGTGCCAGGCTTATCTGAGCTATGATTAAGAATTCATCCAACTAAGTAATATGCCTTAAAACTTTTCTTGTTTTGCATTTTAGCTCTGCAGGCTTTGTTTTAAACTGCTTTATGAAAAAGGTGAAAAATAAATTTCTCTAATTTGCAGAAATCGTCTTCCTCACGACAGCAGCAGACCCTCTATGAACCTCCAGTCCTCTTCAAGACTGAAGACTATTTTCCATGTCTTAATGAAGCACCTTATTGATGATTTTTGCTTTGGGATTGATATGAATCAGCCAGAATAGAGAAGCCAAGTGAACAAAAGGAATGCCAACCTCAGAACAACTGCATTTTCTAAGCACTATTGATGGCATATTGCCATTCTGATTCTCATTGTCTTCCTTCAGGCAATATTTTCAGGTAATCTTTGTTTGTGCACATTATTTCAAAAGCCTTCCGAAAACACCATGTAAGTTTTCAGATTATTTTGAGGAAGGAATTTAAGAATATTTTTGCATTACTTTTTTTTAATACGGAAATAATAGGAAACATACTATTGTATATAAGTTTTTTAACACATAAATATCTGTGCTGCTGCACATGTAAATAGCTATATTGCAAGCAGGGGGTTTATTTGTCTTTTTTCATAATGTGCTGATTGAGTTGAAAGAAAAACTATGCATTAGGTTTCACATCCATTCCAAGGTATAAGCCTGGTCCCTGCAGTTTGTACAGAGAAATGCACCATGTTGGGATTTACTTGTTGCAGGGGCAGGACTTGGAAGGTCGTCCAGGAATCAAGGACATGGCTCAAGCCATGTGATGTAGTCCTAGTTCATAAAGCAAACATCCTACCCCACTGATGATCCTCAGGTCCCAGTGACCCAGACTTGTAATTATTGCATCCTTGTATTGTTTGATGTGTAACCAGGTGGACGTGAAATAAATTTATATATAGAGAGATATAGATGTATAAAACCTGCTGTCAAAAGGAACAAGTATCTAAGTTGGGGAGGGATGACCCTGGACTGAACTTCAGTCAGGTACCTGACCAGATTGCTTTTCCTTCACAACTCTCTGTGGATACTGAGGCTTCCCACGCTGATTGCAATTTGTATTATCAATAAACTAATAGCTGGCTAACCCCTGTTGTGGTCTTGCATTTCACTGGACAGTATTTACCCACCTAGCAGGTGTTAATCATAAATTGATGTATTCCTCTGAACAAGTTTTATCTCTGCTGCTCTGTTGCCAGTGTAACTCACTAGAATACTCAAAATACAAGTCTGGGAGGAATGCTTTAGAGAAACAATATTTCTCTAGATTGCATGTTGCACGCACAAAACAGGTACGTAGTTGCACAGCAGAGATTATATATTAATAGATCCTGTCTCTAAAGACCAGCAGGAATTGGGTTCTAAACATCTTAAATGTATCTGAAGCAACATTTATTAAAATTTAAAACAAAGATTTTCAAGTCAAAGTTAGTAGGCTCTAAAAGTAGTTCTGATGTAAAACTTACCTGAATTTTAACATAGGAAAATAATCACATAAACATGCAGAAAGAAACAGACATGACTTTGAAGCAGGGCTCCCCTCCCATCCTCCTTGCTTTCATAAATAATTCATTATTCAGATGTTCCACTGGAGCAACAGTTGCATTTCTAAAAGGCGTGGTGCCTTTCATTGTATGCATAAATAATTCTTGAAGGTTTGTCCCTCCTCAGTGAGATCTAATAAAATTACACAGTGTAGCAACAGAAAGCTGCAGTCAAGTACTCTTAAACATGCTAACACTGGTATGAAAAAAAAGTATTCTTTAGAGCAATTTTCTAATTAAATTAATCACCTTCTCAAATAACTTTGTCCTCTGCTGTGTGGAACCAAAATGCAGTTTCTTTTAAAAAGACGATGTTTGAAATATTAATAAAGATTTCAGCAAGTTTATACGGTTGAATATTTTTTCACACAATATTGTTCATATTAGTAAGAGTGCAAATTCATATATTCTGCAGTGGGCATTTTTGTTAAAGTGTTGTATAGAAAAAAAAGAGCTGTATCTTCAAGGCACATTACCAATAAAAATCAGACAGTTCCTGTAATTAGTATAGCTCTATGCCGGAAATTCTCCAAAATATTTTTATTACTGAAAATAATGGACAATACATGGAAAATTTGTTAAGGAAATGCTGCAAAAGACAGTAAATTAATTGTGGCTTTTAAAAGACATGGTACAAAATACCAAGGTCGCTGTTCATCTGTTACCAAATCAGGCTTGTGGTTATGAAATTAAGGCATTCTCATAATACTGACAAAATGCACCCTGCTGTTGGTTTGTTTGCACCTTGGCTGCCTCCTTATTCATGGTCAGCCTCACCTCGCAGGAATAGCACAAAAAACATCCCAGATGTTCACACTCAGTAAAGAAATACTCAGAATATTCCTTTATTCTGTCTGCTGTTACCTTGTATTGGTGTAAAGCCAGTAATAACTATATTGTGAATTAGGTTCAATATTTACTGGGTTTGCCAGCTGTAAACAAAACCTGAATCTCAAAATCCACTGATGCCAATATTCACAGCCCCAGAAGGCTCTACCTGCATCTTTCCCTGCACCATGTTTATCCTCTTGCCTGAGTCCCAAGATACAAAGCCAGTACCTATGGGGCTACTTCACCTGTTTTTCACATCAGAGCTCTTCATGTAGAACTGCTGTAAAGCAAGATGTGGTTGTGCTGTGCTGCTAAAGGTTGGGTAAACGAGCTAATGTTCAATATCAACAAAGTAATCTACATACACATCTTACTTTTTTTTCTATGTCATTAAGCAAACGTTTTAAAGCAATCCTAGCAAAAGTAATGCTAAAAGTTTTTATGTTCCTATAGTTAGGAACATAGTCCATTCTAGGCCCATGTTAAAATTAGCATTAGCCTAATGCTAATTGAAACTAATGCAGTTTTTCTAAAAGTTATCTGTTTGCTGTACAATGTATGTCAATATGTCACAGAAGCTGCATTCACAAGATGTTCACAGTGAGGTTATATCACAGTCAGGTTGGACTGAAGGTTAGAGGCCTACACTTTTCATAGCTCCTGGACAAAAATGAGCATGATCTGTCTTGCATAGATATTTAATTATATGATAAACTCTGCCTGAAGTCAGCACATAAAGACTGATATTTATATTTAATTATTTTTGGACTAGCAGATTTTGTTCCAATCAAGCAGTGCTCCAACTGCAGTAAAGCCCAAAGAAATTAGAGAAGGATGCAGATGACTGAAATGAAAAGAAACAGGTTTCATTATTTATCTGATCAAATAAGATAAATTACTTAAAGATGCACTAGGTTACATTGACAGAAAAACCTGTGGCATTTCATTACTTCCGCTGACAATAACCTTCGGGGTTAAGTAGTTTTACTTACAACACAAGAATTAAGTAGCAAGGTAAAGCTGTGGAGAGTGATCCTGAGTGAAAGACCTAGCAGAACGAGAAGGAAGACAGCTTGCACCTTTGTCTGTGAAAAGAACTGTATATTTGGAATTGGTAAATAATGCTCCCATTTAAAAAAAAGAAGAAAAAAAAGGAAAACGTTTTTTAATCTATTACTTTTTAAAACTCCCTCACTTTTCATAGAAAAGAAATTGGTCTTGGACCAGCTACGGAGAAAATCCTTGAAAAGCCAGAATCCCTGTCAGATACAGCTGTGGTCACAGAGGACCATAACAGGAGTTGGTATCTTTCCAACCACTGCAGCTAAATCCGTCAGGGGTGAGGAGTTTCCAGCTGCTGGGGTTCCCATCCCTGCAGGAGCTGGGCTGCTGTGGCAGGCTGTGCTGCAGCAGCAGAGCAGAGGCTTCGTCCCTCAGCTGCTTTTGCTGATTCTACTTCAAGCCAATGGGTGGTAGTACAACCTAAAGATGGTAGTGCAGACTCCAGTTGATCTCAGGGATTTGGAGAGTGTTCTTGACTTTCTTGCTTGATGTTATCTCTTCCCAAACTCTTTCAATGCTGGTCATTTTTTATGATTTTGAAAAACTGTAAGGGATATGGGAATGGTGCATGATGTCTTAATAAGGAACAAGGAAAAGAGAGAAAAGGACAGAAGGTGTTGTTTGTGGGCAGTACAGTGCAATGCCAGGGAGACAGAATGCAATCACCTATAGATACAGACTGTGAAAAGGAAAAATTAAAATAATGCCTTTGGATTTATGTCAGACTAAAGGATATTGTAGGGAAACCAAAACATCCTGTCTAAAATCCACATAGAAGATTCAAAACGATATTTCATTGTCTGTACATTCATAGTGGACTATTTAAGGGATACAAATACATTAAAATTGCTTTAACAATCATTCCAGTGTGCTATCTATGTGGGATCTTAAATAGTATATTTTAAAAGTGTATTGAAAATACAAATATATGAATGTGCTGACAGACCTAAGAAAATGAACTGAATGTTAGCAAGAATTTCATCAGAGGGTTCAGAGTGAAAAGACAGAGGGACAGAATTCATTGGGGGAAAGTGCACTCACTGAGAAAGGAAGGATAAGTATCCAATTCAATTTCTCATCTCCCACTGTTTCAGAAGCTGAAGGTTTCATGAGAATAGCTCAATGCCTACATTATTTAAAAATAAATTAATTGCCATCTGTTCCTTACAGGTGACACTGTCGGGAGTTTCTTGACAAGCAAAGCAACCTTTAAGAAAAAACAAAAGCAGAAATTTCCTCAATCCTAGGACATTAAAACTGAGGGCTGGCACTAAATATGACAGAAGCACCTGAGAACTGGAGACTGGCAATAAAGCTGGTTCTGATTGATTCATAAAAATAAAGTCTAAAAAAGGAAAAAAATGAATGGTAAGAGCCTTATGCAGGAATGGAAGAGGCAGAAAATAGCATAGCCATGAGAGGAGCCAGGGCATGTGCCAAGGTGTGAAATTGTGGTGACAGAGCTGTGAGTAGCATCAACGGCTGAGGGCAAGATCCCTGAACTGGAAGGTAAGAATGGAGATCCACAACAGACATTACATATATATGTGATGTTGTTATTTTTTCACAGTTTAGGAGCTTTTTTTTCTCCCTCCAATGTGCACTTTTCCAAAGTACATTGTTTTGGAAGGGGCTATAACTGTACTAGAACTGTGGATCAATTCTAGTGTGTGTGTGTCTGGACCCGGCTGCTGTTACTGCCTCTGGTTACTGCCTCTTTCTCAAAAGCAGTAGGACTTGCAGGTAGCTAGCCAGGTCATTGGACTGTTCTGGCTAAAAATCAGTCCTGCCAAGCCAAACAGTCCAGCCCCAGCACTGGTGTCTTGGCACAAAGTGAGGAGTGACACTCCTCTACTCCCAGCCATCCCCCTGAGCAGGCAAGCAAAGCTTTCACCCTGGCAGTGTGTCCCTGAGTACAGCTGGGGAGGTGCCTGCTGTGGAATTAACATCTGTTTCCTTCATGTGTCTTTGATTAGCCAGCCCTTTTCTCTGCAGGAATGGCTTTGCAATTTGTATGGAAACACAGAGGGAAAGAAGAACAGGAAAGAAATAAGGTATTGGGAATAACCTTGTTGTTGTTACAGAGATGTCTGTGTATCAACTAAAATGGGATGGTTCATCTGCTAGTGATACACAGTGCCCTTATTCTTGGTCTCAGCAGTTGCTGGGAACTTTTGTGGAAGTGTGCTTGTTGAATCTAAAATCCAGTGTTTTGTTAAGCAAAAAAAATATTTGGGAGGAAAAACACTAAACAATATAATTGAACAAAAATTGTATTTTCTTTCTGGATTTATTAGCTTGACTTCTCCTGAATTTAATTGTGTTTCCGTAGTTGAAGGACAACACAAAGCAGTAATGCCAGAAGAATCTTGCCTAAGGAAAATCAAATAGGATATTGTTAGCTAACAAGGTAGGTGAGCAGTGCCATTGCAAACTCATTACATGTACCAGTGAGATAAGTCAAGATTCTGCTAAGTGAGTTGGATGAAATTATGAGGACACAGAGTCAATAACAAAGAGGTCAGCAAAAGCAGATTTGTAGGAGATACCAGAGCTTATCTCAAATAGTGCTCTGTCTCTTAATTAGTTTGCACTATGGGACTGCCTCTGAGTGCAAAATGGATTCTTTTGGGACTGAATACAGCCAGGGACTTGCTCAGGAGTTTAGCTGACTTGCTGCAGCTGCTGTTGGGTGTTCATTCCATGCTGCTGGCCATGCACTAGTTTTAGGCAAAGATGAAACTCAATGAAACATTAAGCTACAAATCTGCCTGAACTACTGTGCTGAAGTACTTGCTAACTCAGTCATAGCCCCAGGGTGGCAAACACCACTCTGCAGGGGCAAAAAGACTGAACCAAAGCTCTGGGACGAATGCAGATGTGACGGTGCTTGAATATGGATATTGTGGGGATTGTGAAAAGCCTGATATAAATGTCAGGTAAGAAAGCTGCTGGAGAGGAGATGATGGAGGGGTAGACATAGATCTCCTAACTGGAGTAAGTTCAGTTCAGGTCCACAAAGACAATTAAGGGACTGGAACATCTCCTGTGAGGAGTGTCTGGGAGAACTGGGATGGTTCATCCTGAAGAAGACTCAGGGGTGATCTCATTAATTTGTATAAATACCTGAAGGGAGGGAGTGGAGGAGAGGGAGACAAACAATTCTCAGCAGTGCCTCCTGGTAGGACAAGAGGCAGTGTGCACAAAAATAAAATATCCTTGCCAAAGCACCTTCTCTGTTGCATCCTACATTCATATTTTTGAACCCTGTTCCCACAAGCTTCTTTTAATATCCTCTAATTCTTGTATTGGAGGAAACAATCAACAGTCATGAGCCATCTGTGTTGCTCATCCTCTTGTAGTAATCTCTGTTATTTCCTTTTCCGTGATCTCTTCCGCTGGCTGAGGAATCACAGAATGGCCTGGATTTGAAGGGACCTTAAAGATCATCTGGTTCCACCCCTCACCATGGGCAGGGACACTTTCCTCTAGAACAGATTGCTTAAAGCCCTGTTATTTTGTGTATGAAGCTTCCATGTTTTTGCTGCCTTTCTCTGATCCTTTCCCACTAATGCTGTATCCTATTTGAGATCAGAAAGCTGGGACTACCCATGTAATTTAAGGCAGAAGCAAATCAGAGGTTTTAAACAGTACCACAGCCTGCCTTTTTCTTGTTTCTTCTCTACTTATTTCCCTGTATCAGATGTGCTTCCTTGTCTTGTTCTGAATGTTTAAACTGATGGTTTCCAGGACCTATCAGAGTTGTGTGATCTCATTTATGAGTAACTGCTCAAATTTACTTTCTGACTCATAATGTGGTTCATGTACAAGGATATTTTCATGTAATAGCTAAATCTGTGGCTGTTAAGCAGGAGCTACTTCCAATCAGTAGGATGAGGTTTTGCTAAAACAAAGGTTGTGTGGATCAGATATAAAAAGTAGTAGATTGTGGGGCAATGCACAAGAAGGCAAAATAGAGGTGCTGCATTGGTCAATGTGTTTGTGTGGATACACCCCTACTGGAGGTCAGCAACTGGCCTGGTTGTCTGACCCCTTTGTGTGTTTGTGCTCACCTGGCCTGTCATTTACCTTTTCTAATCATAGCTACAGAGCAGTGGTCCTGATAAAATGGTGTTTGAATTCAACCTGAGGTACTGTGCTGAAGCAGAGAGCCCATGAAGCACACTCCAGATACTCTTCAGCCCACTGCAGCCTTGGAGGAGAGAAGGAACACTTTGAGGAAATGACAGAAACTCCCTTTCTTTTCAGTGCTCCCAAATCCTTCTTTGTGTAAAGTCTGTCCAGGGTACTTCTTCTCCCCCTCTTTCCCTTAACTCCTCTGTACCCTGAGACTGAGCTGCCTCTTATGGAGCCCCTTTTCTTCCTGGTAGGGTGGAGGGAAAGCACTCTGAGCACCTGGACAGGTGGGAAGTGGGATTTCCTATGGAAGCTCCTGCTTTGAGCAAGTTGAGAGCAACCATGCTGAGGTTTACTCTGGTTCTTTTGTGAGGCGAGATCCCCCATAGATGGAGCCATGTTGAGGAACATCCCAAGTCCAAAGTGGGCATTTCACTGCCCTGCTCTGGTGAGACCAGTGAGACCTGTTACTGTCACTCTCAGACATTTGGATGATCCTGGAGAATCTTAGCTGGGCCTTGAGAGAGAGCAGCAGTGCTTGTGCTACGCTCCTTTGGGCAAAAGTACTTACACATTTTGTTCCCCAAACCTTTGCTTGGAACCCAGCCCTTGAGACCATTGTTGGTTCCAACCTCCACCGTGGCAGGGGGATTGGAACCAGGTGATCTTTAAGGTCCCTTCCAACCCAAGCCATTTTGTAATTCTATGATGATGATTAATCACGCGCTACTTTTATCTCGCAGTGTGTAGGAAGAAGTTGAAGTGAATGACTATTCTGCAATCACAGTCTGCTATTTTCTGTGTAAGAGTTTTGTGGATGTGGCCATTTGATAACAGCATAGTGCTTAGGAAAGAGGTATAGCCTTGCTTTTGCCCTCTTCCTCTTTCCAGCTCAGTTTATTTCATTTTCTTCAGCAACTGAGCATTGTGGTCAAACTAAAAACTAGTATATTGTCTTGCAAGAAAAATTAACATCTCCAGCTGTGTTCAAGTTGACTTTTTTTTGATCTGCTACACAACATGGCTTAATTCACAGGTGAAATGGCAATACCAATATAGAGCCCAGAAGCAAAGCCTGGCATAAGTGCAAGAGGAAGAATATTCTTAATTATTCTGCCATCATTTTTTTGCCCCATTTCCCTTTTACATTTAAAAAGTCAGCAATTTTCTTGTTGTCTGATACCACTTTGTGCATAATTTTTCAGTTTACTCGTGATGTTATTCCTGTGTGATGTTTTTATAGTCATATAAATACTGTTGGGCCTTAGTGTTGCTTGTTAATGGTATCTAGGGAAAACAGATTTGTTACATTTAGAATTGCTCACAAATGTTTTGTCTGCATGGTTTGACTTGTGGAGAAGCTGCTCAGTGTTGTATTTAAAAGCAGGATGGGATGTGTGATGCTGTTCACAGGGGTCTTAGGATGCGGGAAGAGATGAGGATCTGACTCCATGTTTCAGAAGACTTGACTTATTATCTTATGATATATATTATATTAAAACTATACTAAAAGAATAGAAGAAAGAATTTCATCAGAAGGCTAGCTAAGAAAAGAAAAATAATGATAACGAAGGCTTGTGTCTGACTGAGACAGTCCGGACAGCTGGACTGTGATTGGCCATTAATTAGAAACAACCAACAGGGACTAGTCAAAGATCCACCTGTTGCATTCCACAGCAACAGATAATCATTGTTTACGTTTTGTTTCTGAGGCCTCTCGGCTTCTCAGGAGAAAAAATCCTAAGGAAAGGATTTTTCATAAAACACATCTGTGACAGGGATGCATCCACACCTCCCTGGCAGGGCCTGCATTGACAGTGTGGTCCAATGTCTGTCCCAGCCTGCGTGGACACCTAATTGTACCTGATACATGCCAACTGATGGAGTGAACTGATGACTCAAAACATTGATGATGACAGGCATTTGTATCAACTGGACCCATCAGAGCGTGCACATGTGGGAAGGTTCATCTCAGGCTTCCTTTATGTGTCTGAACCTGCCTGCCAGCAGCTGGGGATCTGCACAGGCAGCAGCTGGCTGGCTGCTACTGCCTCACTTGCCCTGCTGCTGGAACAGAAATGTGCAGACTGAAATCCATGATGCTCCTGGGGCCCTCACAACAGGCACAGAACCCCACAGCTCTGTGGAGCCCTGCTTAGGGGTGCCCTTGCCAGATGGAAGGGGGTGTTTAGCTGTGTGCAGACTGACCTCTGGGAAGACAACAGGTAACCTGGGATCTGTCTGGGGCTCCTTGCTCCATCAAAAAGACATCTGTTTAATCCTGAATTTCTGCTGATTTAGCCATATATGGTTGCTCTATCAAAACATCTGTTTAATCCTGAATTTCTGCAGATTTAGCCATATATGGCTGGCTGGTGGAGGGTCCTGGAGGAATATTGAAGGCTGCCGGCACACGGCTGTGAAGACCAAGCTGGATGAGACAGCAGGCAGCAGCAGCACAATTCCAGCTGAGCCCAGAAATCCACACTGCCACTTCCAACACTGGCCTTGCCAGGTCCACAGCCCTCGGGCAGCCTGTGGGGCACCACAGAAGTGCCTGTGGCTACCCAGGGCTGGTCACAATGCAAGCAGCCCATGGGGCAAGCTGCAGCACAGGAGAAAGAAAAAGAGGTGCAGGAAGATTCCAGAAGAGGCAGGAAAGGAAAGAAGGGAAGTATCTGGTGGCACCAGAGGAGGTTATGAGACTGTGTTAGGGTCAGTCACATCAAGGTAAAGAGAAGTGGCTGATGTGGGCAGGTGAAATGAATTTGCTTTATTAGGAGGAAAGGGGAACTAGAATAAAATGAGGAATGTTTTGTCATCTGAACAGCCCAGTCAGTTTGACACCAAAATTTTAGCCACAGATTTTCAGGATGCAGATGAAATTGCTCTACCGCAGATGAGTTATCACTAACTTCCTGATTGTAATGATTCATGCACTTCCTTTCAAATTCCATTTTTCCTTCTCATGTGCTCTATAGCCTATTTCCAGAAAGAATATTTATTACACCAGTCTTTACTAGGTAAGTGTTACTTTTCTTAGCCAGCTCTTTCTGTTCTGCTTTCCTTTTAACAGGAAGATGAAACAATTAAAAATTAGTCAGTCCACATTGTACTTTTTTTTGCTTGCTTTCCAGAAAAAAAATAGTAGATATGGCCATAGGAGGCAGAATACTGAACTCTGGCTGCACAGGGCATTTCTGTAGCTCTAATGTAGTTTCCTATGTCCACTATTAGATAATACCAATGTCACCCTAAAATTCTCTCTGTGTAAAGGAATCGTGTTTTGAAGGTGCTTTGACACATCACAAAGCAAATGGAAAACCCCGTTTGTTACCATTCACATTTGTTTGATACTGTCTGAAACTGGTAAAAGGAAATTAATGGCTTACAGCTTGAAAATTATCACTAGCAGTGGCTTTTATTTAATCACTCCTATCATTTTCAAAGGCTTGTTTGAATTCTTAATTGTTAGTGTACATACCTCCTCTAAATTTCCATCTGATAATATTCTTCAGTAATATTCTTTAGTGTGGAACTTTCAGGTGATGTTAAAATAATAAAAGATTATTTTAATAATTTAAAGTTCTCTTTAAAAAGAGACTTTTAATCTTTTAGAATCTCTTTAATTGTTTCTCCCTCCTTCCTCTTTGCTTTTGTATGTGTCAGCTTACATTGCTCTCCTGTCTTTGATGAGTCATTGCATTTACTTTGTACTGATACTTTTACATTTCAGCCTGGAACGTTGATTTTGGTTTCCTTGTTTTCTGATCAGAAAAGCACAATTTTTTTTCCCCCTGTAAGTATCACTGGATTTTTGTCAGAGCAGAGAAACCCTCTTTTCTAAGTTGTGATTTCACAGCATGTGGTATGCAGGTGTATCTGGTCCCTTTTGAAAATGCTTGGTGCTGTTTCCTACTAGCAGTCCAGGTCCTGGAGCGATGTTGCTTTATAATTCAGCTGAATATTATAAAAATCTAAAACATAAACAGTATAAAATATAACAATCAATATATATAAATGAACATTTCAAATACCAAAGACTCCCACCTATACAAATATAAAATCCCTTTTACTCCTTGTCTCGGCCATAGGTTGGCACTGGCTATTGCTGAGCATTGATGTGTGTCCTAGGACTAGTACAGCCCAGTGTTTTAAGTTTAGCAGAGCATTTTCAGACACTAGGGATCTGGTTCATTCAGACTGGTCCAAAACAGCAGCTTTTCCCTGACAGGGCTCTGATAGTACCAACTCTAGCTCTCCACCCTCCCTCCTCAGCCAACTACTGGACTTGCAGCAGAGAGATTGGGAAGAGATTTCCTTCTGCACCTTCTCTGACTTCCTTCTCCTGTTCTGCTGCCTGCCTTGCTGCCAGCAAAGGGAAGTATCAGGCAGCTGTGAGAATGAATGCGGCCTCACTCCCTGCAGTTTCCTCCTCTGGGTGGTGCTCAGTTGCCCTCATGCCTCTTCTCTGTGACCCCATCAGCTGTCAGTGACACTCCCTCAGCCTGTGTCTCAGTCCTGCCCGTGGAACCCCCACACAAGGAGCAGTGTGCTGGTGAAGGGATGTTGCCTTTCCCCACCTGCTGCTGCTACTTGCATAAGAAGAAAAAACCCAACCCTTGAATCTTTTGTTTCCCTTTACTTACCATAGAGCCAAGCCTACAGGGATGGACAAAGGATAATAAAATCCTGATGATCCAGCAGACTTGGCACAAAACCAAGAAGAACCTTGAAATATTGAAAGGCATTGTAAAAAAAATGGGAGGCATTAATCTCAGATGATTTTTGTGATGATGAGAAGATGAAAGTTGGAAACACGTAAGTGAATTACTGTTTGTAGATATGCAGCACTTCTGAAGTTAAATCAAAGTATCATGTTCACTGTAGTTAAAGTGGTTAATATTTGCCAGATTAACTTGAGGCATTTTGATGTAAAGTGTAGATAACAGTGGCATAGCGTGCTTACACAGATGAAATGAGACATACCTCCAATGCTTTTCACAGAAACACACCATCAGCACAGCTCCTCTTTAACCTGCAAAATCTTATTTTACTAATACCTTCTACAGGTTATGTTGTAACAGTGCAGGAAGTGATTCATTTTAGACTTACAAACGTAGTTATACTTCAGAGTGCTTTATCACTATTCTGTTTCAACTTCACATACAGCAGGGTGGGTAAAACTTCAACATCATTTAGCTGTATGAGAGCCCCATGGGCTATGCCCACTGTGGCAGCAGATATATTTGTCAGCAGAATTTCTTCTCACAGCCTACTCTTATCAGAAGACAGATGCGATTACTAAGCTAAAATGGTATGCGAAAACATATGGTGTTTTGGAGCTGCTTGGTTACTGTGGAGGATAAATAGCTCCTGACCCTAACCAGGATCTTTTCATGAAAAAAGAGCGGTGTCCCTATGCCTTATAAAGGCATGGGCAGGCTTATTCCAGCGCTCAAGAAGGGGCGGTAGCGGGTTCGTGCTGCTGAGTTGTTTGGTTTTTTTTTTTTTCTCCAGCAGCGGTCGCAGGCGAATGAAGAAGTTGAGCTGAAGCTGCGAACACTTCATCCCGGCACTTAGCGGCAAAACTCAGACAAGAGAGGAGGACGCAGGTGGTGAAATTAAAAAAAAAAAAAAAAAAGAAAAGAAACCCACTCGGTCATGGGGAAATCAGGTGAGCAAATGCCTTCGTGCAGTTGGCTGTGTGTTCGCACAAAGTCCGTGCCTGGTTTCGTGCTTGGAAAGCGTTGCTAAAGCGTTCAGTGGCTTTCCTCGGAGAAGGCTGCTTTCATTTGTGCATGGTACAGCCTGGGAGGAGCTTTCTCCCTGACAAAGGGTTGGATTGAAAAAAAAGAAAAGAAAAGCGACCCCCCTCCTCAACCTGCGCGGTGTAGAGGCAGTTGTATTTCATATACAACTTTGTAAAGTTTGTATTTTGTAACTTAAAGTACTTTTACTTTGCTGTAAAAAATTACAATGAATCATTGTACACTTTAAAGTAATTTTGTGTCTTGCTGTGTGACAAAACTTATTAGCCTTGCAGATAAGCTGCAGGATGCTTCGAGGGGGGTCAGCTTTATCACCCTTCCTGTCGGAAGGATTTAGATGTAAGATCTGGTTACTATTTAACTGCGGGCAGACTTGCTCAGCTCCTAAGTCTCTCCCCAGCTGTGCACATATTCTTTAAGACTTTCCCTGCTGCTGCTTCCTCTGCTGTTGGTTCCTTCCCCACTGCTGCTGGCTGTCTGTGTGCCCTGCTCAGTTTGGGCTGGAGAGACTTCTCCAAAGCTGCCAAGGAGCCAGAGACCTTCAGAAGGGAGTGCTCAGTGCCCCGAGTTTTCTCCACCTTTGTCCTGTTAAGGTCACGAGTAAAAAACTGTCCTGAATTTCTGAAACAGCTGTGAAACGGGATGGGATTTTTTGTTCTTGTTCTTAGAGCATTGTTTTATGTGACAAATCAGAGCCTAGTGGCATGTTGTCTGTCTGTCCTGTGTGTGAACAGCACATATAGGGACATGCTCAGCAAAACCTAGTACTTGATTAACTCAAAACTTTAGGCCTCTTCAGAGAAACTTAAGGAAAATCTTTGTGTGAGTAGCACTTTAAAGGGCCTCAGCAGGGGTGCACTTTTTTTTAAAAATTTTTCTTTATTTTTAAAGGTCAGCTTGCTAGATGAGATCAGAGCTGTCTGCAAATATGACTGTAGAGGGATTACTAGTATGATACCCAGTCCATACAAACCACCTGCTTTTTTTTTGGCAAAGTCCAGCTGCCAGTGGGTGGGTTTGGCCTCATATCCTGACAGCTAGATTGGGATAAATAACCCTATAACAATTTAAATAAGCATAGTTGGTGTGAAGTATCAAGTTCAGCACTTCCCATGCTAAGAAGTACAAACACCAAATCAGTGTATGCATTACATTAGCATTAGCAAAGCACATTGGGCAAAAGCAGTAGAGATGCTCCACTGTGCATCTCACAATCCCCAAAGGAATAAAAATCTCCTTTTGTTTTAATGCATGAAAATTGCTGAAACAGTCATAAGGCAATTACCATGTTCATTTTTTCCCCTGCACATGTATTGCTGTGCATTAATTGATTTTTACAAACTTAGTAACAATGGCAGACCAGAAACTCTCTTTGCCAAGGCTTGGGTAATGTTAGCATCCTTAAGTGGTTATACAAATAGAACTTGAGATCTAGGTATGTGTTAAGAATGTTTTCTATTTGTGTCATGCTTTTCAAACCAATGTTAAACTAGGTCCAGGTTATTGTCTTTGAGCTGTGTGCAATATTTTTAGATGAATCATAAAACTGAGATCCTGTCCTGACAATTGGTTTATTGACTAAATCCCATCTGCCCTTTCTAGTTCACTGAAGTCTTCAAATTCTTGTCTGAGATCATTCAGTGTGGTTTGCCTTTGAATGGGGAGAGCAGCTGTTGTACAGGGTATTGCTCCCTCTGGGTTTTGTGTGAAATACAAAATGTGTTCCTGCTCTAGTGCTCTTAAGGTGTGATGCAGACAAATTTCTCTGTACTGAGGTATATGAACGTGTAACAGGTTGCATGACAGATCTGTTTGTCCTCAGAACAGATTCCTTGCTCCTCTTCTGGGTCAGAAAGGTTAAGGCAGAGATTACCTGGAGGGCTTATTTAAGGATGCTCTAATTCATGACAAGTGGGGCCACTACTTTAATATAAGTGAGCAGTTTCTTTAACCTCTTAGTTTTGGTAAATCTGTCTTGAAGTTTAAGTATCCCCACACAAAGAAAACCTGCTGTTGGAAATCTCCGTTTTTTGGTAAAACCTCTCCAATAATGTTGTATTACTAGTTGTTAGATTATATTTGAAGCAGTGTTCATTCCAAGTGTCAGAGCTAGACAGCACTCTGTGTTTCATTGGATAGAGCTGAGTGTTGAAACCATCAGCACCTCTGACTCAGCTTTCTTCCCTGAAAGCTACAGGCTGATGAAACCAAATTCATACTGAAACTTCCTTGCCAGGGATAGAAAATGCCTCCCGTGGTCATAACTCCTGCAAAACTTAAGCCAAACTCGGAGACCCCCTCTGCCCTCCCCCAGGTGTTATCTTTTCAGACGCCGTTTGGATTAGTTGGAGGTGCAGGCAGAGAGCTCTAACCAAGAAGGCAGGGACAGTATTTCTGCAGGAAAGGAGGGGATGGGGAGCTGGCAGCTCTCGGCTGCCCTGTTGCTGAGGCTGCCGTGCTGGCAGGGCTCTGAGCCCGCTGCAGCTGTGCCGGCCGGAGATGGATGGGGTCCTGCGGGCAGCCCCCGTCCCACGGGGGACATCCATCCCTGCCAGCAGCTGCAGGCGATGCTCAGCACAGCAGCTGGCTGCGAGCTCCACTCCTCCGCTCTGGAGCACGTGGATTTCTGCTGAGCAGTGGGAGTCTCTGAATAGGCTGGGATGGAGGTAGGAAAGGCTGCTAAAAGTCTTGTTTCTCCCACTTTCCCCCGGGTGCAGCCTCGCGGGGGAAGGGAGCTTGTCCCGCTCGCTCCCTACGGGGGAATAGCTCTCTTTACTCTGGCAAGTGTGTGCAGACGGTGCCAAGGTCGGGCTCAGTAAATACTGCAATCATTTTACAGAATTTGGTTTTATTTTTCTGCTGGTTTTCCTTTTTTCTGCCACTTCTACAAATGTGGGCGGGACTCCAGAGAAAGGGCTGGGAGTTACCCACTGCTCTGCGTGTTGAGTCAGTACCAAAAAAAGAAAAAAACAAAGAGGGGCTGAGAAAGGGTTTTGAGAAAAGGAAAAGAGACAGGAACCAGATTCAGTGCAGTTTTCCATGCTGGTTTTAATCTCATTTAGAAGCATGTGCTGTTTTTAACTCTTCAGATGCATCTTCAGAGTACAGTAAAAAGGACTGTTGTGTTTTCTGCAGAACGAGCTACATCTTCAGCTGAAATGCTGACTTGTATTTCAACATCCTGGTAAGAAACAGCCAAAGCAGGTCATGACAAAAATACAGGCATACTGGACAAGTGACCTGTTTGCTTTCTGAGAAATCAGATACTCCCGAGCTGTCAAAATGGGAAAGAGTTATGCTGGCTAGTTTTACAGGACTGGAGGGGATAGGGAAGATGGATTGTTCTGAACTGTTAGAAACTGAGCTTTTGCATTTGGTAACATTGGGACATTTGCAGAACTTCCCAACACAAGTTACTGTCTTTTTCTTTACACCAGAGCTGAACTGGAGGTGTGGTGGGAAAATGACTTTTCAATACCAAAGTTAATTCAATTCTTAGTCCCACATCTACAGTTGCATGTGGAAGACATTGATTGCTGGGTTCAAGTTCAATAAGTAGCAGAGAAAAAAGTCTTCCTGGAATGTGTCAGGCTTTGGCAGTATTCTGGGCCCAATTTTTACCTGTCTGTTGAAGCATCAGGGTTTTGGTGGGGAGGAGAATGCAGCAGCCACCCCATGCAAGAGTGGTTGCTCCTGTCAGCTGTTAGATTGTACCCTTAGCTCCTCATGTTCAAGGCAGATAAATACTGAAACAAGTGGGCAGGGCTCAGGAAGAATAAGATAGAATGTGATGGTCTGTAGTAACTGAGATACCTACCAAGGTTTCCCATGCTATTATGCTGTACATTAAAAAAAAATATATTGAGCATTAAGAAAGCTTTTATTACTGGAAACATGCAAACCCTGCATTTTCTATCCATACAGTTGGTAGTGTGTGTCCTGCCTAGGTTTGAGTTTGCTTCTGTTGATGCTTTATGTGCAGGAACAAAAAGTATGAGAAAACAAGTATTTTGATTTTAACTTGTTTTGTTGTTTATTATTTATCTCAGCAGGCCAGAAGCCTATGTCAGATCTCTCTTTCTGTAGTGGCTGTGCTGTTCTCTGAAAGATAAGTTGGAGCCTATCTCTGTTCTGTTTTTACAGGCAGATCTAGGCAAGTTCTGCCCATTCTGTGAAGGTCTGAACAGCAGCCAGAGCTGGGCTGGGTGGCCCTGCAGAGGGGGATGAGGTGGGGCTGTGCGGGGGCCCAGTTTCCCTGGTGCAGAACTGGCTCCTGTGCAAGTAGGTGAGAGGAGGTGGTAGGAGTCTGGGGTGTTGTGTAGGAAGACAATATGGGCCTGTTTAGGTCACTGTAAACAGTTAATGTATCCCTGGAAATGTTCAAGGTCGGGCCAGATGAAGCTCTTAGCAACAGGGTGTAGTTGAAGGTGTCCCTGCTCAGTGCAGGAGGATTGGCCTAGATGATCTTCAAATCCTTTCAATCCAAACACTAATATTATTCTGTGATTCTATGAAATAAATACCCTTTAAAAAAAGATTTTATATTGTGAGAACTGAACTTTAACGTGTTGAGCAGAGGGATGAAAAACAGGTAGTGTAATTGATAGTAAATGTGAGTAAAGAAAGACTTCTGTGCCTTCCTGCCTGACTTCGGGTACTGGATGGGTGAGTTCACACACATCAGTGATCAGAAGAAATGTGCATGGCCATATTTCCATGCCTCAGGGAGGTGCATAAATAACCATACTTTGAGCATTGCCACAGCTATCTTGGATGTCCTTGGCAGAAAAGCAAGGTGGGAGGACATTGGAGCTGATGAGATTAAAACTAGTTCAGGTATGCTTACCCCAAACCATGATAGAACATGAATGGTAGAGGTGTAAAATGCAGGAGCATATCCCAGGAG